AACATAAGACTACTCCAGAAAGAAACAATGTGATTTATCGAAGTTCATAACCATATATAATCCATTCACAGGCCTCAGATGGAATTACTAGATTGGGTGTGCAAGTGATGAGAAACTTTGACGTTTTTGCTGAAAAAAGATGGTTTTGGATTGGTGCTGCTGCTCTTCTGGGGTTCACAATTCTCTTCAACGTTCTTTTCACCGTTGTTCTTATGTATCTCAGCCGTAAGTATTCACTCCTCAAAATGTATAATGGGATTTTCTATTCAGTGCATTCTCTAAACTTATTAGATCTTTTGTCACCCTATCAGCTCTAAACAAGCCACAAGCTGTATTATCCAAAGAGCAGGCCAGGGATATGGAAGCTGATCAAGAAGAAAGTAGGGACCCCCCTAGACTTAGAGTCAACAGGTCGAAGAGAGATGATCTCCCTCGATCCTTATCTGCAGCAGATGGAAACAGAACAAGTATGATCTTTAGCCCATCAATCACAGAATATGTTTAGGAAAAAACAAGTAACGCTTACAATAAAATTATTCTCTTGCAGGAGAAATGGAAATCCGACGAATGAGCAGTCGTACCGGCTCTACTGGCCTCCATAGAAATGATGATGCAAATCTTGAGGCTGCAAATGGTGTTGCAGCAAAGAAAGGAATGATTCTGCCATTTACCCCACTGGCAATGTCCTTCGAAGATGTGAGCTACTTTGTTGACATGCCACCAGTAAGATTCATATCCTTCCACTCATTTTCACCTAATTAGTTTGATAATTTATCACCATTGTAGCTCTTCAATCTCCTTATCAGTGAGTATTCTATGATTGAACCTGAACCTACTTAATGATTTTTTCAGGAAATGAGGGACCAAGGAGTAACAGAGGACAGACTTCAATTGCTTCGCGAAGTGACTGGTGCATTTAGGCCAGGCGTATTGACAGCACTGATGGGAGTCAGTGGAGCAGGAAAGACTACACTCATGGATGTTCTAGCTGGACGTAAGACTGGAGGCTACATTGAAGGTGATGTAAGAATATCTGGATTTCCAAAGAATCAAGAAACATTTGCCAGAGTTTCAGGATATTGTGAACAAACTGATATACACTCACCTCAAGTAACTATCCATGAATCTTTGTTATTTTCGGCTTTCCTCCGGCTCCCAAAAGAAGTCAAAAATGAAGATAAGATGGTATGGAGTAACTCCTCCTTATGTTATAATGTAACAATTTTACAGGAAAAATACTGAGTTTTTCGTTGAAAACCTTTTTCCAGGTTTTTGTGGATGAAGTAATGGATCTGGTTGAGCTAGACAATCTCAAGGATGCAATTGTAGGTCTACCAGGAGTTACTGGTTTGTCAACAGAACAAAGAAAGAGATTGACTATTGCAGTAGAGCTTGTTGCAAATCCTTCAATTATATTCATGGATGAACCGACTTCTGGTCTTGATGCAAGAGCAGCAGCTATTGTTATGAGAACTGTGAGAAACACAGTAGACACAGGGAGAACTGTCGTCTGCACAATACATCAACCAAGTATCGATATATTTGAAGCATTTGATGAGGTAAAATAAGTGATTTTCTTAACTTCCACACCATCCAGTCTGAAAAAGAAATGTCTCTTAGCTCTGTAAGCCCCCTTTCTCTAATATGTGTTTTCTTCTGCACATCAGCTGCTTCTTATGAAAAGAGGCGGACAAGTAATCTATGCAGGCCCATTAGGTCGACATTCTCAGAAAATTATTGAGTATTTCGAGGTACTTACTGATTCTTGAACTATACATTCAAATAACTAAGAACCACCTCATATTTTGCTTATGAGTGTCAAAGGAAAGTGCACTAATTCAACTATCTAATGCAGGCAATTCCAGGAGTTCAAAAAATTAAAGAGAAGTATAATCCAGCTACCTGGATGCTAGAGGCAAGTTCAATTTCCACAGAAACTCGACTAGGAATGGATTTTGCTGAATACTACAGATCATCAGCTTTGCATCAGTAAGTAAAAATGAGTGAACTGCAAAATGTCTTTGGCACATTCAAAAAAAAACTAATGAAATATGTTGCTTCATGCAGACGAAACAAGGCTCTTGTCAATGATTTGAGCACACCTCCTCCTGGAGCCAAAGACCTCAACTTTACCACACAATATTCCCAGCCCACATGGGGCCAGTTCAAGTCCTGCTTATGGAAACAATGGTGGACTTACTGGAGAAGTCCAGACTATAACCTTGTCAGATTCTTCTTTAGTCTGGCTGCAGCACTAATGATAGGGACAATTTTCTGGAACGTTGGCAGTAAAATGTATCTACCTCTTATCTAAAATTAACCCACAGATTTCATGGTTTTTTTTTTTAAACCAGACAATCTAAAAGGTCGATTACTAACTCCATAAGTTTGTTTTTTTTTTCTGTGTTACAGAGTAAGTAGCAGTGATCTAATGATAGTCATCGGGGCAATGTATGCAGCTGTACTGTTTGTTGGAATCAATAATTGTTCGACTGTACAGCCAATTGTAGCCGTTGAAAGAACCGTCTTTTATAGAGAAAGGGCTGCTGGGATGTATTCAGCATTACCATATGCTATGGCACAGGTAAGCATCATCCAACTAAATTATAACAACATATTAAGCAGTCATATCTTTTTTTCAGGACATTTTCTTATCCATTCTCAGTAATTGATGTAATACATTTGGCTTGCAGGTAATTGCAGAAATACCATACGTACTCATCCAAACAACATACTATACTCTCATAGTGTATGCTATGATCGGCTTTGAGTGGACGGCGGCTAAATTCTTCTGGTTCTTTTTTGTAACCTTCTTCTCCTTCCTATACTGGACATACTATGGAATGATGACTGTTTCCATCACACCGAACCACCAAGTAGCTGCGATCTTTGCTGCAGCATTCTATGCTCTCTTCAATCTTTTCTCCGGTTTCTTCATTCCCAGACCAGTAAGTCAAATGTTCTTTACAAGCATTCAAACATATAAATAATCTTGCACATAACAACAATACTAATATTTCTCATTAAAATCTCAGAGAATTCCCAAGTGGTGGATATGGTATTACTGGATCTGTCCAGTTGCATGGACTGTTTATGGTTGCATTGTATCACAGTATGGTGATGTGGAGACTACTATCACAGTCCCAAATATGTCTCCAAACCCTATGATTAAGGACTACATTAAAGATCATTTCGGATACAATCCAGACTTCATGGCACCAGTTGCTGTGGTTTTGGTTGGTTTTGCAGTCTTTTTTGCCTTTATGTACTCTTACGCTATTAAGACATTGAACTTCCAAACAAGATAGATAGATATGGATAGTTACAAGAGCTTGTACATATTGCCTGAAGCCACCTCTTTTCTTCACAAAAGAATGTGGCAATTGTTATATATCATCTTTAAGAGACATAAAAAGGTTCATACACCTCTAGGTCTAGGATCTTTAGTATGTGTTTGTATTTAGGAGTTTTGCAGATAACTATTTCTATAGCACTGAGGAATATTCATTCTTGTAAGATTCAAGTGTAGTCTCCTCAGAATAGCACAAAAATGTAAGCAATGACTATGCTTCCACAGGGCAAAATGTAATTGTAAATTACTGATGCTTATATGCAATTAAGATTATTTTTTCTCTACTTCATGGAGTGTGTAATACATAATGTTCACAGGAAAAATCAGCATCCACAAAGTTGGTATTTTGATAATACAATTACTAATCCACACCCAAACAGACATGCACAATCCTTTCTTTTTCCTTATTGTTGAGGTGTTCTACTTGCCAGCATTTCGGTAGTTGATTTATCGGATGATCACTCAATTAGGAGTAATTATTATCTCAGAAAATTACTTTTTTTTATTGACAAAAATTAAAATCAAGAAAAGAAAACTATGTGAAATAACTATGTTTATATTGAGAAATTTACTACTCCCTCCGTTCACTTTTACTTGTCACTTTTGACATATCAAAAAAAGACAATGATATTTTTTCATGTTTACCCTCATCAGTAAATACTCTTTCTTCAAACCATTTTTCAAGACTTAATACGAAACATCATTTAATAGTGATAGTTTGATAAACTACATATATCAATACTCGTTTTCTTAATGAGTGTGCCAAGTCAAAATGAGACAAGTAAAAGTGACAGAATGAAATATTTAACCACTTAAACTTTGTTGTCCCCTTGACAAGGGTTCAAATACTTGGACACTTGTAACAAATATTTTTCTATAATTTTAGATTTATAGAAATTCATAAACTGTTAAATTATGAATTCGCGTCTATCACAAAAGCATCTTACCATAATGCGAAATATTAGGTCCAAAGATAAAGACAGGTTCCTTGTATTACCATGAAGACTCTGCCAGTGGAATTTCCTTCTTTCCATAAATCACTTTAGATGCGTCACAGTTCACACGTCACCTTTCAATTTCCATAGCCTAATTTATTCCCCTTTAAACTTGTCAGATTAAATTTTATTTAGACATTTCAATTATATTTTGATTAAACACTTAAATAATGTGATATATTTTTAAAAATTAACTTATCTATACAAGGTCATGTTAAATTTTTGTGTTCATAATCCACATTAAATATAACAAAATTTGACACCAACAAAATATACTTATTTTTGACAAACTTTAAAAATTAAAATTGCTCAAAAATATACTCCCTTTATTTTAATTTATTTATCTAATTTTGTTTTATCATGAATCTTAAAAAAATTAAATTTTGTGTTTTAAATTAAAAATATAAAAAATGTATTAAAGTGTTCTTTAATTTCATAATTTTAAATATGTCAAGTAAAAGATTATTCATTGTTTTTTATAAAAAAAATAGATAAAATAATATGTGATAGGACAAATAAACTAAAACGGATAGATTAGTATACAGTCACTTTGAAGCTACACAAACGTGAGAATAATTTTTGTCATTTTTCTTGTGAAATTTACACGGTCTTGTCGCCGCATTTTCTTAGAATAAGCCCTCATAAGCAGATTTTTCTAGTATTTAACACTCTTTCTCTCTTTTCCCTTTTCTCAACAAAAACAAAATACTCTGTATTTCTTCTTCTTCTCTCACAAATCACAATGTTCTCATTGAATGGAACCAATTTTCCGGTAAATAACATTCTTAGCCCAAACCCCATATCTTGTTAGCTCTTAAATCATGGAATTCTTGATCAAATTTTATGATGAATTTCTTTGAATCTTTCATTTCCAGATTAGTCTTGCAAATGTTTTTGTCTGATCAGATTTTTGTTTTTGCAGAACGATTCGCTATCTGGGGTTTCAAGATGTTTGATTCAGTCCCGGAAAAAGGTGTCTTTTCCTATGGTGGTGGCCTCTGTGAGCCCAAATGGAGACCGGAATGTGAGTGTTTTAATGGAAAATACTTTGAAGGAGATGAAGGAAAATTCTCCAGTTATAGAGAAAGATTCTAAATCGACGGTCACTGGTGGAGTCGGCGATGTGTACGGCGAGGATAGTGCCACTGAAGATCAAACTATTACTCCTTGGAACTTCTCTGTTGCTAGGTGAAAAGATTCGATTTTTACGTTTTGTTTCGATATTTTCTATGCTCTCTATTAAAATTCCACATCATCTTGTCTAGTGCGGAGTGGACACAAATCAATAGTAATTTATTTTCGAAAAAATGTTTTTCAAAATATATGATCAATCGAACAGGAGAAAATTGGAAAGCTTTTATACTGAACATACCCTGGTTTCTGAAATTTGGTTTTTCAATTTGTGTTGCTTTTTGTCATTAATCATATGAATCTGTTAAAAAATGATTATTTTTTTTTGTTCTGGTCGGTTCTTATTATTTTCATTTTTATAATGCCACTTGATTGATTGTTTTTCTCCTGGTGTCTTTATATATTAGTTTAAAATTGTATCTTTCCATTTAAGCTCACCTGAAAATGATGTAATAGAATGGGATACTTGTTGATCTCCTTAATTTTTTGATGTTAAAAGAAAATGAGCATCATTGGTGAACCTGAGAAGTGTTTCTTCATTTGTATCCATTATGAACATGATTCTGTTTTTTGGTGAGCAGTGGATACTCATTGTTGCGTAATCCACACTACAACAAAGGGTTAGCTTTCAGCGAGAAAGAAAGGGATTCACACTATTTACGTGGTCTTCTTCCTCCTGTGGTTTTTAATCACGAGCTTCAGGTTGTCCATGTTGTGTTTTGCATAGCCTTAATTATGTCTCTCTCAGTCTTCCTCTTCCTGACCAAATGTAAGCTCTCTATTTAACTGCATTGTTGTGTCACTTCTTCTGTCAGGTTAAGAAATTGATGAACAATCTGCGTCAGTATGATGTACCACTGCAAAGGTACATGGCCATGATGGATCTTCAGGTAGTAGCACATAATATATGCTGATAATTAGTTGCTGCTTTCTGTTAAAGTTATACTTTAGTATTAAAGAAACAATGGCATAATAATAATTGGAGTCTGATTACATCTAAGACGTCCCAAACAAATAGATCTTGCTTGGATCAAGACCTTGTACATTTTCCCAATTTATTGGCATCATAATATACAAATTCTTGCATCCTGGTGCAGGAGAGAAATGAGAGGCTATTCTACAAGCTTCTTATGGAAAACGTGGAAGAGCTTCTCCCGGTAGTTTATACTCCAACAGTAGGTGAAGCATGCCAGAAGTATGGTAGCATCTTCAGACGACCTCAAGGCCTTTTCATCAGCTTGAAAGAAAAGTATGTGTTTGGAATTCAACAGATAATTTTCAAATTAGTGGCCCAAGTTTTTTTTTATTACATTTGGATCTGATTTGTTATAGCCATTTGCAGAGGCAAAATTCTTGAGGTATTAAAGAATTGGCCTGAGAAGAAAATTCAAGTTATTGTTGTAACTGATGGAGAACGAATATTAGGCCTTGGAGACCTAGGTTGCCAGGTATGTTCTATATGGACTTCACACTAATTTTTGGAATCATGTTAGGTGAATTCCAAGGAAAAACAGAAAACTAATCATCTGTTTGTTTAACTGATGTTCCCAGTTTCTCTATGCACCAATATATATTTTAAAACATATATATGACATATCTGCCCACATATTTCTCTTAGGTATCTAAAGACATATTAATGACAATCAATTCATCTTGACAGGGAATGGGGATACCAGTAGGGAAACTCTCTTTATACACCGCTCTTGGAGGCATTCGGCCGTCATCTGTAAGTTTCTGTAGGGAAAATGTAACAGTTGTTAGAAATGGACATGATGCCTTTCTTTCACAAATAGTATTGTATCTCATTGATGTTCGGTGAACTCAATCAAATCTTACATCTGCCAAAATGCTAAATAATCATATGGTCTGAAACTGTGTTATCTGACTGTTTTCTGCACATCGTTTCGCATAGAAACCTGCAAATAGCACATGTTACTTTATAGTTGCCCAGCTACTTGGCACTTGAAAAGCATTAGTTAGCATTATCAGTCAGGCAGAGCCTTATCTACTTCCTTTTACCTCCACCTAACCAATGGAGAAAAATCGGTAGATTAATTATCCTTTCTTCCTTTGCAGTGCTTGCCAGTAACCATTGATGTGGGTACAAACAATGAGAAATTGTTAAAAGATGAATTTTACATTGGGCTCAGACAAAGAAGAGCTAGAGGACAGGTTCACAATTTTTATTTCCTACAATGCTAGGTCATAGAGTACATTTCGTAGAAGGTTGTATATGTTTTTAACTTTCTTCTTTTGATGGTTCGTCCACATTCAGGAATATGCTGAACTCTTGGATGAATTTATGTCTGCTGTCAAGCAAACTTACGGAGAGAAAGTGCTCATTCAGGTTGGTTGTCTTCTGATGAAGTTGTACATATGTATATTGAACTTTACTCCGTGTTCTAACTTCATGACATACATCAATAGTTTGAAGACTTTGCGAATCATAACGCATTTGACCTTCTTGCGAAGTATGGAACTAGCCACCTTGTTTTCAATGATGACATTCAGGTAAGATAAGGACTCAAATATTATAATGCTGTCATAGAAGTGGTGTTTCTATGACTGATACACGCATTCTGTCACTAACATCTTCCTGTTCTGTGTTTTCCTCCAGGGGACTGCATCTGTGGTCCTAGCAGGGATCATGGCAGCACTAAACTTAGTGGGGGGAAACTTGGCACAGCATAAATTTTTATTCCTGGGAGCTGGAGAGGTAATGATGTTTTGACATACAGCTTTTGGTTTTGCCCTCATATTAGCTAACAATCTTGCTCGTTTAGCAAAATGAAGTTCGATTTTCATTATGTTTAAGACCAGAGGTGGATTTTTTCAGTGTTGAAACCTCCAAAGTTGTACTTGGAATTTCTCAACACCTTCCTCCTTTAAGGCCTTAGCAGTTTAAGAGCTGGATTTGATCATATATTAGTTTCCCTTCCATTGTATATCTCTGTAGATTTCCGTTATGCCCCTTAAATCACTTATTGACAATGCAGGCTGGTACCGGGATAGCAGAACTCATAGCTCTTGAGATGTCAAAACAGGTTTGGCCTTGAAGGAAACTATTTCTCTTTGTTTTGACTTTTGATTAAAGATCTTGTGTCAAAAGTTTCTACCACCTTTATAAAAACGAAATATGTCAAGTGATTTATGCAATGGTGTTCTTCGTGTAGACTGGAGCCCCTCTAGAAGAGACACGCAAGAGAACCTGGATGGTGGATTCTAAGGTATCTGAAATTGTCTGTATTAGATATTTTTATTCTTTCAATTGGTCTTCCAGCAGCTCATTGATTACTAAACATCCACACATCATTCTTCCTCTAGGGGTTGATAGTTAGGTCTCGTATGGAGTCACTTCAACATTTTAAGAGGCCCTGGGCTCATGACCACGAGCCAGTAAAAGAACTGGTGAATGCTGTGAAGGTACAAATATATCACCTCCTCCCAGTTTCGTTATCCTCCCCCTCGAAGTCTCATCCTTAACTCGTATTATTGTGTACCAGTTAATTAAGCCAACCGTCTTGATTGGGTCTTCTGGCACTGGGAAGACGTTTACTAAAGAAGTGGTACAAGCTATGGCAACCTTCAATAAGGTACTATTCCTTGTTCCTTGAAATCCTTCTCGGAGAAAAGCTGCATTCTGTAAGTCCACCTAGTTTGGGTAAAAGACTTAAGCAAGAATAATTTATTGTTATAAATGGTTTGTAATGCAGAAACCAGTTATTTTTGCTCTCTCCAACCCAACATCACAGTCTGAATGTACTGCTGAAGAGGCTTATACATGGAGTGAAGTAAGTTATTGGACAGTCCATTTTTTACGTTGAAGTTGGTATTACTCTGTCAATGTTCGTCTTTGCAGATGTTCTGTTTTCTTGCAGTTCTAAAAATTTTCCATATCCATACAGGGGCGGGCCATTTTTGCTAGCGGGAGTCCATTTGCTCCAGTTGAGTACAAGGGGAAAGTTTTCGTGTCTGGTCAGGTCTGAAATGTCAAAACATATGGCTTTACATTTTTCCTAAATACATTTAAATTTCATAACATTACGTACTCAATTTCTCTCTAGGGAAATAATGCATACATCTTCCCTGGTTTGGGTCTGGGACTTATAATATCTGGTGCTATTCGCGTTCATGATGACATGCTCCTGGCAGCCTGTAAGTTCTGCATAATGTTACTCTACTATTTATGATAATATCTAGTGCAATTCGCGTTCTGATCAACTTCTATCTCTTGATTATTTTCTGGATTATAACTTTTGTGCATATGCTACTGTAAACATTTTCCTGGAATTGGAATCTTTGACACCTTTACACTAAAGTGGTGCCTTTCATCCTCATAAAATCTTACATTTCTATCTCCGAATTATTTCATCTGAACAGCGGAAGCTTTAGCAGCAGAAGTAAGTCAAGAGAACTTGGAGAAGGGACTAATATACCCACCATTTGCCAACATAAGGAAGATTTCAGCTCACATTGCTGCCAAAGTAGCAGCAAAAGCATGTGAACTTGGTAATTTTTGCCTCTACAATCTTGTCACTGGAGAACTTTAACACTTTTTTTTCGACATGTATCTATCAATTGTAGTATTGATGTTCATTTCCTTTTGCTCAACAGGCTTGGCCACTCGTCTACCTCAACCGGAGAACCTAGTAACATATGCTGAGAGTTGCATGTACAGTCCAAGTTATCGTAGCTATCGCTAAGTCAAGGAAGATACATAAAATTAGTAGTCATGGATTTTCATAGCTTTGAAGATTAGTGTACTCATGGAGATGGTACTAATTTAGGAATATATAGACAATTTTTAGTTTTGTATTGGCCACTCAACATCTTTTGTGTAATTCTGACCCATTGGGTCAACACGGGCCACTGGCCCTCACTCCTTGTACTGATGTTTAGCTAATATAAAATAAATAAATTTTACGTATCTTTCTAACCAAAAAAAAATGTGGAGCAAATTGTACGTTGTTAATGCACAAAATTATAAGCAAGAAGCAGCTAATTAATATGCATTTTGGTGGAGAAACAGCTCTCCCATCTCGGTCTCCCGAGGGTCCTTAAAGCACAGGAATGGCTCTCAAACGCAATCGCTGCACATCTCTGGCCAAAATAGCATCCAGAAAGGTCAAATGATCATCCAACTAAACCGATTCATATCAGAGCAAGGTGAGCCAGCTTCAGTAAATAAGTTGTCTGTTGAGAATGTATTATTATTTAGATATAAATATGTCAACAAGGTCGTTGTAGTATAGTGGTAAGTATTCCCGCCTGTCACGCGGGTGACCCGGGTTCGATCCCCGGCAGCGGCGTTTATTTTTTTGTTGTGTTTCATTTTATTTATTTATCAAAACTAAACAATTTATTTCTACTGTATTTACATTATTGGAGTAATATTTATGTAAGTCCTTTTTGTAGGCCTACCAACTAAAAAAGAATTTGTTGGATAGGGTGAGCAGAACAGAATAGTGTGGAAGAATATTTATTTATGTATATATAAAAATAATAAAAAGTGACCCTAACTAAAAGCTAACTTTTGAATGGTTGCATTTACGCTAAAATAAAATATGAAATATCCAAAGTTGTATCATTGAGTAAAAGAGGGGATAATTCTCCAGAGATAGACATATAAGTGCAATTTATGAAAGAGCAATAATATTGCATGAGCCATGATGTAATAAAGTACTATAAAGGGAAAAGAAAAAGGTGCCAATAATGTATTTAATTTGGACAAAGGCTTACTATTCTTATCAACATTGTATCATGATAAGGGAATCGAAAGTTTAGTAAATATATATATATATATATATATATATATATATATATATATATATATATATATAGAAGTATTCCTTTTTTGGGAAAAAGTAAAACCAATAACACAACTACTCCCTTTTTTTTGTTCCCCATTGTGATTCGATTTATCCGTATTAGAGCCTAAGATTATGATAAATGAAATATATAGCTAAGAACCATGAGCATTATGAGATTTCTTTTTATTTGTTCCAGCCTTTATTAGATAAAAGTTACTCGATACATGTAATAATGGGAGGTAATAGATACCTTGTATAATTAATTGAGATGCGTGCAAGTTGATCCAAACACCACTCTAATTAAAAGAAAATCAATTTTGAAAGTAAAGAGCATTCCTACAAATATGAAATGTGATGATATAATAAATCTCCAGATATCATTCTAGAAAAAAGAATTTAGGGAATAAAGCTATAATGATATGATCTCTTCTCCAATACTTCATTCTCAATTATTCCAATTTGGGCTCTCATTAATTTTTAACTTCAATTTTCCTTATTAAGTCACTTCAAGGAATGATACTGTTTTTTAATATTCCCTACTCCACTTCCGTATTGGACTCTTAAGTCATGAGTTACATCAATGTAACCAAGTCAGCCAAGCACGACAAGTGTCATACTACCCCATGCTCGTGGGTTTAAGCCATATTTTGAGAATGAAAAGAATCATGTTGAGAGGGTATCCCTAGAAATGGATTTGTAATGCAGGACGTCCCTAGAAAATGAGTTCTACAACCTACAAATTCAAATTTAGTCAAACTTCAATACATATACCAGCCATCATGTGGGAAACAAAAAAAAAGTTTATCATATACTTTCCCTTGATTTGTACACAAATTATTTCTTGTAAATATTTAAGAAATTCAAAAAATTATAACTATTTAATAAATTTCTTACTAAATTTAGAGAAAAAAAATCGATTCAAGTGAATCTTGAACCCATATCTTCTAAGCTAGGTCTGCCTTAGGTCCTTTTTTTGCTCCTATATAAACCACCTTACCCTTGTTCCATTTCCCACTACCTTCTCCATATTCAGCATACAATTTCTAAGTATATTAGTATTAGTAGTATTATTATCTTTTAATTACTCTATTTGTGTGTCTATAATTCATTGTTATTCGTATGGAAAGAAATAATAACTTGCATCGTCAAGTTGCTAGCCTTAGGCAGTCCCTTTTCGATCAGGTTCCTCTCTTCTTTTTTTTGCATTTATTATTAGGGGCATTGATATCGCAAAATGCCCTACAACTAGTTAAATAGCTCAAAGTTATCCTTTCTACTAACCGTTAATCCAAACAAAAAAATGACTAATTTTTTTGTCCGTGAACTATTCGAAATTGGACAGTTTTAATTAGATAGTAGGTTTTAATTGGTTTGAGTCACTTGCATGGGTGCAGGGATATGTTGATGAGCAATTTATTGAGTTGGAAGAGCTGCAAGATGATGCTACTCCTAACTTTGTGGAAGAAGTTGTTACTTTGTTTTATAATGATTCTGCTAGGTTCATTCATAATATTGACCAATCATTGTGAGTTTTTTTTTCCTCTTAGACATATATAATGCACTGATTGATTAATATAATTATTTAATTTATTGAATGTTTAATTATTTTAGGGAAGAACATCCTCTTGATTTTGCAAAGCTTGACAACTATATGCATCAGTTTAAGGGCAGTAGTTCAAGGTTAGAAATTAATAAGATTGGTTATATGATAAACTAGATACTTACAATAATTAATGAAAATGATAATTTCCTTTAATTTATCATCAAACTTATTATAACAACTTTTTTTCATGACTAATTGTATGCAGCATTGGAGCCAAGAAAGTTAAAATTGAATGTACACAGTTCATGGTATACTGCCGAGCTGGAAACGTGGAAGGGTAATTAATCGTCATTAATATAAATAATTTTTTACACTATCAACATAATTTAATATGTTATAGCATGTTACGATCAGAAATCTAATATCAATTATCAATATTTACTCCAAGACATTATTATAAGTGACTAGCTTGCACTATTATTACGAAAGGGAGAAAGTACACAGGAAAAAAAAGTTGAAAGTATTTTTAACCTGGACCGTATAGATAAAATGTAACATTAGAAATTACATTGTATGTACCTATTGACCTTGAAAATAGTCTTAAATTTTTAACTTTCAATTTCTAGCCCATTTAACAAAAAATCAAGGTTAAAAGTTGATGTCTATCTAATTTCTATTGAATATTCTTACTCATTTATAGTATTATTTATACCCAAATATTAATCCTCTGGAACTTACTTGTCGTAGTTGATGGCTTGCAAGATGCTCTTACATGCCTACTGGCTTATTTAGAATTTACTTAAATATGGTTTTTTACTAGTCGACATTTTTGTCGAGACAGAATATATCATAAACTATTCATGCATCACAAAATTGTACACTAGTCATGTTTTGTCAAGGCATATATTTTACTCTTTTCAGATCTCATCGTGAGATTATGTGATTAATTTTTTTCTTTATTTTAATTTCTTCGTAAATTGAAGCAGATGTAAGAGAACTTTTCAGCAATTAAAGAGAGAATATGCGGTACTCAGAAAGAAGCTAGAAGTTTATTTTAAGGTAGCAACAAATATACTCGAATTATTTCTGCTAATTAATTAATTAATTAAAATGAATGTGATGAAATTTGTTACTGTATATATGCAGTATGCAAGACAAGCTGGACCAACTGAAACGGCGTCGTATCACCCAAAGTAACTCTATTAGGAATATAATCTAAGTGACTCCAAGTTAAAAATGCACAACTCCTTGTTAAATGTAATGATAAAGGGAATGATTTGTATTAGCATTAATTAGAGTTTATTAATTAGAGCTACACCTTATAGTATGTTATGGATGAATGAAATATATATACAGAATTCGACAATTCTAAAGAATGAAACTAAGCAACTTTTTTAGATTTCATTCTTTAATATAACATCAACATAACAATAACATTATAAAGCAATATAGGCATTTATCTCATCCATCCACCGAGAAAAACACCTGTCGTACACTAAAGGTTCACGTGCTTCTTTATTCAAAACAAAAAAATATTCTGAAAGAACCCACATATAAAAAAGTGGATTGGTCTGCTCATTATTTGTGTTCGTACATTTTTTCAAAGGACAGAAATCACATACTTTTAAGGCAAAATTACCATCTGTCCCTTATAAGTTTATAATTACAGAAATCCCTCAAAAATTTAAAAAACGGATACAATAATATAAGCGTTAATACATTAATCTGATGCACGAGATACATTAATCGTCAAGTAAGATACATTACATTTTATACATGACACACTAATCTGATGCGTGAGATACACTAATTTGATGCGCGAGATACACTGATTTGAAGCGCGAGGTACATTTTATACATGATACACTAATCTGATGCGCGAGATACACTAAACTGATAAGCGAGATACACTAATCTGATGAGCGAAAATGAGGGATTTTGGAGATTTGTAAAACTTATAGGGGATAATGATAATAAGTAAACTAAAAGGTGAATTTCTGTAATTTTTCCTTTTTCCATTATTGCAGTATTCGTGAGTTTAGCATTTGAAAAGTAAGGCCCATATATTACTTTTTACTGATTTTATTCCTTTTATAGCATGAAAAGTTTGGCCCAAAAAGCTGCATTTGGGCTTAAATGAGTGATGTTCTAGTCCGATCGGTTCGATTTTAAAGTGTTATTTTAAAAAGAAATTAGAAGACACTTAATCCATTTAAAATAGGCTAATATAACCCAAATTTAATTATACAAAACGTTGCTGAAATATTTTGTTTTTATTTGATATTCATATTATATAACATCATAATAAAAAAAATTAAATACTCAAAACATTATATAATAAATTAAAATCCATTTGATACCTCTTCAACTATAATATAAAAAAAATTAAAGCAATGTATC